GGAAGTGCGGCTCTGCTGGCTGCCGTGCTGCAGGGCAGGGGGCTGGACTGTCTGGGGAGGAGGGCACGGGAACAGCTAGAAGCAGCAAATAGGGAAAAATTTACACATTATGAAACATGGCAAAATAAAGTGAGGGAGAAAACGCTGCAGATATGTACAGAGGTTCATCCAGCCTTGGCTGTTGAACTGTTCAAGTAAGAAGAGTTTAGTTTATCCCATCCCAACCCAGTCACTGCCACCCAGCATGGTCTCTGGCTAGCATCAGAGATGAGGGCCTGGCCCCATCACCGCTAGTGCCACCATGGGACCGCTCTAGACCAGAGGCCCCCATGCGTGTGCAGGGGTTCCTTGTGCTGGCGCAGCAGGGACCCAGAAGCACTGGAAGTTACTTTTTGCGGGTGTGCTGTCTCCGTGCCTGCAGTCGCTGGCGAGCACCCGTCTTGGATCCTGCCCCGATGGAAAAGGCGGGGGTGGATGAACCTGGAAGCAGAAAGGTTGCTCAGGTCTCTGCAGCCTCACAGAGAGCTGGTACGGGGGTAGCATAATCCCCACCCTGGGGGGAACGGAAGCTTTTGCATCCCCTTGAGCCCAGCAGGCACCACCTAAGCTGGCTCCCGGAGCACAGCCTGGCCCTTCTGCCCTCCCCAGCCCAAGGGGATAACATTAGCTCCCCAAGGCTGAAGCACCAACTCCTTCCTTACCAAAGGAAGCACTGACTCCTCCGAAGCCAGAGGCAGGAGTGCTGGGTGTCCCGAAGGAAAGGCTACTGCTTCCGCTCCCCACTGCTCCCGGGATGGGCGTGCTTTGCCCAAAGGTGGGTGCAGGAGTTCCTGGAAAGCAACACACCACTGTGAGCTGGGGTAGGCAGCAACGGAGGAAGAGCCTGGCCTTCGGGAGTCGGCAGCACCTGCAGGGGCACAGATCTCCATCCAGGGGCTGAAGCATCACAGTCCCCAGGACCAGGCTCTTCACCCGAGAAGCCCTTTAAATGCAAGACTTTGCACTCTCATGGTAATCCCTGGGCTCTCCTGCCAGCAGGGCAGCACAGGAGGATTTGCAGGCCAGGGAGGAACAAAGGCCTCTGCCTTTCCAGATCAAGCAGTTTCTCAGCATGCGAGTTTCAGCTCTGCGGGAGGTGAGATGGCCCAGCAAGGGTGCAAAGCGGTGGGGAAAACCTCAGAGAGTGAGCAAGAAGCGATTGCAATCGCTGGTTGGCAGCGTTTCTACTTGCCAAGAAGCTCCAGATTGCTTTTAAGCACTGGCAAGACCTTGGCTTCTGCAGGACACCTGGCTGGGTTCAGCGCTTGCACAGAGCCAGGGAGCTGGTGCATTCAGAGGGGCCAAGGAGCAGAATTTAAGGATTCCCCTCTACCATCAAGGGCTGGAGACCCGGACAGTGAGGGACAGAAGTGCCCTCCCTTCACATGGCAAGGGTCCACGCAGCACGAGCACCAGCCCTCTAGGGTTGCTGAGCCCGGGGAGCTTGGCAAGGTTCTGGCAGTAAAGTTGCTGCCTAAATCCAGCCCTCCCCTTCACCTCCCAAGAAAGCACATCCACCTCAACTCACCTCCAAACACCGGCTTGTTGTTGGGCGTGCTGGGCACAGTGAAGGCAAAGGGCGTGCTCTGATTCTGTGCACCCAGTGTGCTCTGCGTCAGGGAAGAGCCGAATGGTGTTGCCGTCAGGGCTGCCCCGCTCTGTCCAGCCCCAAAGCTGAACGCCACGGAGGGGGAGCCACTGCTCAGAGCAGGCGTGCTGATCCCGAAGGCGCTGGCGGAGGGGCCCGGCTGGGCGGTTGCCTCGAAGGTGAAAGGAGAAGGGGTGGTGCCAAAGACGCTGGTGCCGGTGCTGCTGCTTGTGGTCTGGGTGGTACCGAAGCTGGCAGTGGTGGAGGTGGCTGTCCCAAAAGAGAAGACCGACACGGTGGTCCCGAATGCTGCCTGGGTGCTGCTGGTGCCAAAGGAGCCCTGGGTGCTGGTTGTTCCAAAGGCTGGCTGAGCACCGCTGCCAAATGCTGGCTGAGCAGCGGACTGGGCCGCGGGGGCTCCAAAACTGAACGGGGGGCCAAAGCTGACAGGGCCAGTGGCGGGCTTGCTGGCAGGTGGCTGGCTCTCCGTGGCACCAGTGCTGAAGGCGGGCTGACTTGCTGCACCAGGATACGGTGGTGGCGGCTTCGCGCTTGTGCTGAAGGAACTGCCAAAAGCTGAAAGTGAGGAGCCAAACGTCAACGTCGCTTGACCTGTGGTGGCTGGGGTAGAAGAGGTCAGCGTGGTGCCCCCAAATATGCTAAAGCCCACAGTGGTGCTAGGAGCTGTCGAGTTTGAAGGCGCTTGGCCAAAGGCAGGGCCTCCTGGGACACTAGTGGTAGCAGTGACCGTGGCTGGAGGTGGCTTTCCAAACTGGAACACAGGCCCTGGGGTGGCAAAGCTGGTTTCTGTGCTGGGAGTTGAGCTGGCTGGGCCCCCGAACAGGAAGGGCTGCGATGTGGTAGTGGACGTGGCAGCGGGGGCAGG